AAGCCATTTATTGCCTATAGTCGGACGAAATCTCCCTCCCCCCGCCCTCAGCCACGGGCCAAAATGTCTCACAGTCTCTGAATCACCTTTGTCATACAGTTATGGACAGAATTTTTCAGTGTGTCCTATGACTCCGCAGGCAAAATAGAAGCTAGGGAGTTTCTCATACTTAAAATCTACCCAATAGGCTTCCCCTTTGCTCTTTTTCAATGTCGTGCCCACCTTCAGAGGTTTTCTCATATCCAACATAACCCTATTCCTCATGTAGGCTTCCCACTTTTCATCAAACTGTTTATCATCCCACGATATGAATTTCCCCAAACAGTTCCCGATTTTACGGGCATATCCCAGATTTGAAAAACCATAAGGGATATTATGGACATGAACCCAAAAATCAGCCGTATCTAGAGAGATCTTCTGAGGCATATCACCCTACTTAATAGCTTTTAACACTAGCAAATTCTGGTCAAACAACCAGGGTCCATTATCCAACACACGATTCATATCAATTCTGTGATAAAAAGTAAATAGATACCCCTTCTCTCCAATTTCTTGAATCAGAATGCCTTTTCCAGGACGCCAAAGGGACGCCATCGATCACGAAAAAATTGAAATGTCACCACTTTGTCTGTGAGGATTGTGCCGACCACCGGAAAAGTCTCCACCCCCTTGCTCGCTGCCTCGGGATCGATTTCCGCCTCATCCTCTTCGTCCAGTAATAGCTCATCCCCTGGACTGCCCAACCCCATTCCTTCGTACTGCACCATCAGCTTTTCCACTGTTCCTGCGCCCACAGTCGTTGAACGATCCTCGCCCTCGTCATGGTTCCTTCCGATTGAGATTGAGGAGACGCTGTTTTTCCCCTGTTCTCTCTTCTGCGGCATCAGCCCTGGCGAGCCCGTTCGCAGAGTCTGCTCTCTGCCTCCGTTCCTGATTTCTTCGCTCTCCATCGTCCGAGCCGCACCAGATCGGCAGAGTTCTCAAATCCTACTAGAGGGAAGGCCACTTCTCTTCTAAGGCTCTACCACAATTACAATACAATTAACAATTTACTACGTATTAAATGAGAATAACAATAAATAAACTCCACAAAAAAGTACTCGTAACCATAGGGCATTTGTACACTTTAAAAGTTTAACTGGAAGCTTACTACAAAACAAGGAAAACAAAAGGATAGAAAGTGTATCCAAGACAATTCAAAGTTATCGGAAATCTTCTCGGAAAGACTGCACTTTACTTGGGGTTTATCTGACACGTTTGTGCTCATTGATGATAAAAAAAACCACGAGTAACTCTTCTTCTCAATCTGGTGATGTTTCGGGTGTCAAAACAGATCTGGTGATGTTTTGCTCTGGATGGACTTGAAAGCATGAACACATATGAAGAAATAAACTCAATAGTTCTATAAGAGAGATGAGTATTCATAAAACGTTTAAAGATAAGAAAATAGGATAGGATGGATAAATAGAAAAAACAAAAGATAGCAAGAGGTTCCAAAAAGGGTCTTCAGCAATTTTAGTATAACTATATGGCAAGAAGTTCTTGCACCTCAAGAAAGTCTTATAGTTCTCAAAACATTTCCATGTCTCCATGGGTGGATCTAGGATTTCATGTTGGAGTGGGCTGAAACGCTTAAATGATACTTCCTCCGTCCCTAATGACTTTACAAGTTTGACCTATACTGAGATTAATAAAGTAAAAATTGTGTGGTTGAGGTTTGTGCAGATAAGAGAAAATTAACTGGAACCACAAGTTCTTTCCTTAAAAAGGAAAGTGACAGAGTTAGTAGGACATTCAAAAAAGGAAAGGTGACAAAGTTATAAGAGACGGAGGGAGTAATAAATTGAGAATTTTCAAAATAAGCAAAAAATCAAATATAAGAGTTCTCCACTAAATTTGTCCTTGACGAATTGAAGCTTTGAAACAAAACCTCATCAAACCAATAGAGATTACATCTATTCTAAGAGTAAGGTCTCTTTCAATATAAAGGGAGTGTTTGCAAATGCTTTTGTTTAAAAAACGCACTTTTGAAGTGATTTTGAAAAAAAAGATTAATAGTAAAAGTTGATAGTGTTTGAGAAAAAACGTTTTTTAATATTCCGTAATATTTGGTTTGTTTTTTATTGTGTTTAATTTCAGGATGCTTTTAATGGAGAGTTGTAACTTTTTAGTCTGCTTTGTTTGTTTAAGTTACTTAAGTTTAGTGTACTTCGACGATTTTCTGATATAGTCATATATGTCTATTATATTTAAGTCTAGCTAGTGTGATATTGTAATTTTGTCTGAAATCGAAACAACTTCAATTAAAATCATTTAGTATACTTTTGTTTTGATGTGGTTTAGTGTGACCTCATCTATTTTTAAAATATATTTGCATCCATTCCAAAGGAATTTCTCCCTCTAACATGATGTAATATCCAAAAGCTACATTTTACGTTTAACGTTTTCTAAGAAGTCAAGGAAATATATATATTTTTTAAATTTAAATTAAATGATTAAACATAAAACAAATGAAAAAAAATGTGAGCCTTTTAAAAATAAAATGAAAGTAGGTGTACAATTTTAGGGTTTTTAATAAAATTTAATTACAAAATTAGAAATTGGCGGCTAATGTTTCAATAAGTATATTTTCATCGTTATGTGCAAAAATTAAGCAATTTGGCTAACGATACTACAAATATTAAGGAAACCACATTTTTATAAACATTCTTTATTTTCATCATAGATTTATATTTACTTCTACATTTTTTAGTCTGTCGACCATGCCATATACCGGTTCGTATATACTACACCCGGGTGTACGGGTGGGAACCGTACATCCGGATATTTTTTTTAATTTTTTAAAGCTTCAGCCCAATTTAAATGAAATTTAATGAATATAATGAAGGCTCATAATAATTAACGAGCAAACCCCATAAACAACAGGTCCGGAGTGGAAAACAAGCAAAGGGGCCAATTATTTTAACGAGGTCATTTTTGTAATTTAAGCGAAAAATCACGTCTCCTGCTAAATGAGCAATAATGTACTTTTAATGAGCATTTGAACTATTTTATTGAGTATTAGAAGGCTAATTATGAGTATCACGGTCTCTGCTTCACATCTTCTAATTATTTTTCTTTTTTTGTTATTTTTTCTTTTATAAAAACTTATTAAATTATATCTATAATCTACTCCTATTAATTTCAATATGCGAGTCTAATGTAATATGATACTTTTGGAACACGCATTGATGTGACATTTTAAAAATGAGCATAACATTAGTACAAAATGAACATACATAACTTACAAAGTGCACATTATATGAAAATCGTAAGGTTTATTAGTTGAACATCATGACATTTTTTTAAATGAGCATCAACCTCCACTATTGAGATGAAAATCACGACTTCTGGAGAATGAGTAATAATGAGCATCAGACCTATTATATTGAGTATTAGGAGTCTAATATAAAATACTCCGTAGTACTTTTAAAATGCATTGATATGACATTTATAAAATGAGCATATGATCAGTCTCAGATGAGCATACGTATCAAACATCGTCTATTGAGATTGATGAAAATCATGAATTCTATTAAACAAGCATTAATGAATTTTTAATGAGCACCAGACATATACAAATGAACATATGTAATTTACAAGATGAGCAATGATATGAAAGTTGTAAGTTTTATTCGTTAAGCATCAAGACATTTTCAGTGAGCATCAAACCTCCGTTTTTGAGTATTAGAATCTGCGATTGAGTTTCAAGATTTGTGGTCTCGTGTCTATAATCAATTCTTATATAAATCTACTAATAATGTAATATGAGACTTTTGAAATGCGCATTACTAAAACATTTTAAAAATGAGAATAACAGAGATACTAAATGAATATACATAATTTACAAAAGGAATTTTATCAATTCAGGACCCGAAAGATAGATTAATTATCAATTCGGGACCTGAAAGATAAAATGCATCGATATAGGACCCGAATGATGAAAAACTATCAATTTAGGACCTGAATGATTGAAAAATATTAATCTAGGACCTAAGTTGTCATAATTTTTTTTATTAAAAAATTTTAATATTATTTCGTTTTATTAAACTAATATAATAAACTTTTGTGAAGAAAAGTTTATCAAAAATTAGTAATGGAATTAATAAAAAATTATAAATCAAAACATATGAAACGTTAGGTCCTAAATTGATAGTTTTCCATCATTCGGGTCTTATACCGATACGTTTCATCTTTGGGGTCTTGAATTGATAATTAATCTATCTTTTGGGTCCTGAATTGATAAAATTCCTTTACAAAATGAGTATTCAAAAATTCAAAAACTCATTTATGTATGTTCATTTTTTTTATGCATTTTACTCATTTGAGTTTAAGGTAAAACTCATTTCTAATGTGCTCGGTATAATGTATATAAATACGAAAAGAAGTAAACCACAAATAAAGAAAGGAAAAGAAGTACAAAAAAGACAAAACAAAAGAAAGTGAAATAAAAAAACATAACAAAAAGACAAAAGTAAAAGATAACAATAAGAATGGATGGCCGTAGAAGAAAAGATGATGGAAGAGATTCAAGAGAAGGAGAGAAACAAAAGATGATGGTTGTGGAAGAAACGAGGATGGCTGGGAAGGAAAGAAACAAAAGATGATGTCGGCGGAAGAAAAGATGATGGCAGGGAAGGAAAAAATATACGAAGTCGGCGGAAAGACAAAAGGAAGAGAATGGCGAGCAAGAATGGTCGCGGAAGAGGATGCTGACTAGAATTGAAGTTGATTTATTTACAAAAATACTGGGTGTACCTATTCATCCGGGTGTAGGATATAATTTGCCTGCCATATACTCTGTAGCACAGTAAATATTGGACCGTTAAAAGTTTTTCGATCTTTCATTATCCCATTAATACAATTATAATACATAGTAAGTATTGTTTTAATTTATATATTTTTTCAAGTGAAAGTTAAGTTAGAGTTAGGTGAATTTTATAAAGAGATAATTCCCTAACTAGGACTAAAAGTTCTAGTAATTGCAAGAATAAGACTTCAATGTTCCGTAGGAGTAAAAACAAGTGTGTTGACAAGAGTACCCTTAATGAACAATATCTATGTTTAAAATATACTCCGTATTTAAAAGATTTCCACACCCCTAGGTAGTCTGACATCTATTATACTACCAACGCAACATCAACCATCCAGTGTCATCGCCGCAGCCCACCAGCTTCTCAGCTGACGCCATCCACCGGTCTGTCAACCGCCACCTGCCCACTCGCCGCCGCTACCGGCGCCTCAGCCGCCGCCGCCCACCGGTCTCTCAGTTGCCACGCCGCACGGCGTCGCCGCTGCCGCCACTAGAGTTGAAGCCGCCGCCACCGGTGTCAGAGCCGCTGCACCTGCATCAGAGCCGCCGGCACCGGCGTCAGAGCCGCCGCCACCGGCGTCAGAGCCGCTGCCACCGGCGTCAAAGCCGCCGCCATACCAGCATCATCGTCGCCTCATCTGCAACCTCTGGCATCACCTCTGCCGACTTCCATTTATCTGACCATGGTAGAGAGCTCACATCCGTCTCAGATCTGGTGAAAATTCATTTAATGCCATGTTAAAATCATAATGCCATTTTGTAAAAAATACATGACATTAATGATTATAAAATATGGCATTATTTGCTATCTTTTTGTAGTTAATGTCAACTTCGTAAATGTAAGATGTAATTATATGCCAAACATGTTAAAAAACATGTCATTTTTAAAATAATTTTTTAATGAAAACAATACATATTTTTTCATCTCTATGCATGTAATATAATGAAAACAACATTGTAAAATATCAATTAAAATCAATAAATATCAATATAAATAAAACGTGAAGAAATTGGAAAATACAAGGATGTGAAACAATAAAATCAAAACAGAACATGAAGAAATCGGAAATCAAGGGAGGAGAAGGAGGAAGGTTTGGAGAAACAGAAAAAAGGAGTTGAAGAAGTAGTTGGAGAAGGAGATTACCTGAGACAACAAAGAGAGAGACACGAGGCATCGGGCGAAGAAGAACTTCATGCCAAAAATTTGGAAAAATATGAACCAATATCCAAACCAGAAAAACAAAGTTTTTAATGAAATGAAAAAGAGTGCGAGGGGATAAGACAAACCTTTTATGCTTCATGCTTCATAATAGACTTCATAATAGAGAGGACTTGGTCAAAATAGGAGAAATTTGAATCTAGAATGAGAGAATGGAGGTTAAAGAAGGGAGATGTGAGGATGAGAGAAAGTTTGATGTATTTATCTCACACGTTTCAAAGTTTGCGGAAAGTTTAAAGCTTCCAAGTAATAGTGCATCAATGCATTATGATGAGTTAGGATGTTTTTACTTGGATCGTAATTTGTTCCAGACCAGACCAGACTAGATCAGAACAGACCAGGCCGGACGTGAATAGTTATAAAAATACAAAGAGACCACACATTACAAGACCAGACCAGACCAGAACAGACCAACAATTTACAATCCAAATAAAAACACTCTAATAATGTTTTTAGTTGTACTTATTTTAGTTCCGGCGTACACCATACTAGATTAGAACAACATAAATCTGATTTAAACATATCAGACCAGATCAGACATGAATAAATCAGATTAAATCAGACTTTGATAGTTGTAAAATGCACAGAGACCACACATTACCAGACTAGAAAATTTTAGATCAAATTGGACTTAGATCGACCAGATAAGACCAAACCGGAAAAATTTGAGTTCAAATAAAAACATTTTAATAGTCACAAGAAAATAGGCTCATTTGTATATTTCAGGGAAACTGCTAATTTAATAAGAATTGGGGGCTTTAATGGCAATTTGGACAGAATGGGCTCGTTTTATTTGTGCGTATAAAATCGGTCTATGAACATGTTCGGACTCGGGCTCGTTTTATTTGTGCATATACACTCAGTCTGCGAACATGTTCGAACTCGGGCTCGTTTTATTTATTCATATAAACGCGGTCTACGAACATGTTCGGACTTGGGCAGATGTTATTTGTGCATATAAACTTGGGCTAAACATGTGGTGATTTGATTATTTGTGACGTGCAGTTCATGGTTATGCAATTCTATGCATGTGCACTAGTAGAAAAATGGCTTACAGTGACACTTTTATAGTGACACTTTCTGATAAAATGACATGAATGATATAAAAGTGTCACTGTTTTCTAACAAAAATAATGAAAATCATGTAGTGACACTTTCATTTTTACGGAGTATATTTAAAGGCTCGTGCGCTTCACTATTCATGTTACTTACGGGCCGGCCTGCTAGAGTTTATTATTATACGGAGTAAAACACTACATTTTAACACACATCCGCTCAAGGGATAGAGCTAGACGCTCTGGCATCTCACTAAGATCCGTCATCTTCTTCACTCTCCCGACGCCTGTGCAGCAACGATGCCACCGTTGGAGGGGCGCGAACTGGTGGCCGGCACATCAAGGTCCACCTACGCCATCGAATGCAGTCCCAACCAGTCTCTTTCTCGGACGTTGATTAACTGTCGCTCAGTGCCAAGCCTAGTCGATTCAAAGGGTTCCCTGCGGTCAACTTCTAAGATTCCGATTTACAAGTTTTATCGTTTAATTTCCATTTGGCTCTTGTAGGTTCCTTCCCTAATGGACGCCCTCCCTTATTCCCCTGCTGCTGGTTTGTTTCTAGGGTTTCTTTCTAGAATTCCTCTCGAATTTTATTCCTCCTGTTTCTACATTTGACTGTAATTCTTTTGTTTCACGTAACCGACGCTGTCGATTGGGAACGTTGGGCAGCTTGTTGTGGATTTGGTTGTATCATCTCTTAGTGTTAATCGGGTCGGATTCATAGATGACCTGAATGTTCTTCCTTGTGTTGGCAATGACGCTTATTCAGCTGCTCCACCCGGTCAGCTTGCTCTTCCACTTGAAGGTATCTTTCTGCTCCACAGTTCCTTTACATAGCACATGTCGATCTCTATTTATGCGTTTCTATTTTCATTTGTATTTCCATGATTATGCAACAATTCTTTTAATTATGTTTGTGATATGTAGTGCTTAACTTTTCCGTGTAAAGATGAATGCTTTTTAGATTTTTTATTTCACAGTTTATGAATCCTCTTTCAGAGGGTCGAGCATCTTGCAACAGAGGTCTCCCATCATTAAGGTAGAATCTTGATCTTAATCATGGGTCTACATACAATATGTGCATGGACCACAGTTGCTACTTTCCAGTTAATTAGCCCGCAAGAGTATATCTGGGTAAACAGCAACAAATGTTTACTTTGTTAATATCATTTTTGTAATTTTTAACATGAAAAAACACCCCTTTTACTTTTACTTCCAACTCATAATGCATTAATACATTGTAAGTGAAGTGTCTGATTAAATGTTAGTTACAGTGTATTTGAAGTAATTATATATATATTTTTCGTGCATCTAAAGGCGTGTTCTTGATCCCATTTAGTTTTCTTGGTCATTCTTTGAACTTGTTTTGACTTATATGTTTTATTTGGTATGCTTATCCTCTCTTTTGGAGTAGTGTTAGATTTCTCCCCTTTTCTCCCTCCATAGTGGTTTGCTTTATTTGTTCGATGTGACTGGATGCTTCCTTAGCCTAAATGGTCTCTATGTTTTTTTTTGTTTTTTCCTATAGATTTATTGCTCTACTTCACTTAGGCTTTTGACATCAAGCCTTCCTGGTGCATCTTTCATTTACCATTGTTCTCTTTGATCTAGGCTTTTTACCTTACTTAGCTAGGATTTTCAGTCAGTCCAACTGTCACTAACTTTTATTTTTTGGTTATTCTTATCCACTCTTGTCTGTTGTTGAATAGCAGCAGAAGTGGAAAGTGTTAAATATGCTGATTGTCAATGTTTCTAGGTAAATTGGAACACAGAGGTTAGTAAAAATACTTATATATTCGGAAAAATATTTTACATGTTTTTTGAAATAATGTACTTGCTGCAAAAAAGGTTAAATTTGTGCGTTTTTTGATATAGAAAAGTGCTTTTCAATGGGGCTGATCTCAGATTCCACATTCAGATATAGAAAAATGCTTTTGTATAATTACTTGCCGCAACTTATGTTTTGTCATTATTTTTTACTGAAGAACATGAGTATACAATGTTTTTTAGAGACTTGAAGGTGGTGAGACCATGTGAAAAATATGGCAGTTTTTAATTATTTGCACGGACTGGTTTGCTTTTCATGTTACATGTATGCATTAGCATTTTTCTATTATCTTCTGAAAACATGGATTGTAGTTTTCCAAAGTCCAAACATAATGAAAATAAAAACAGACTAAGTTCTGCCTCCTGACCTTTTATCATATGTTAATCATTCTTCCATTTTCCTCTCAGACGTGTGATATAAGGACCAAATTCAAGCAGAAGAGGTTAACATCTATAACTATAAAAACTAGAAAAGCCTCATACTTGTGGTCTGTGAGGTCTGTCTTGAGCAGCAAGGAACCAATTGTTAATTGTAATGGAGCCACTGAGTCTTCGGGGATTCTTTTGCAATGGTTGAAACAGAAGCTGGAAGAACAGATATACAAAGATCCACAACTGACTCAAGTTGCTGAATTTGGGCTGCATAGTGTCAACCTTGAATATGATCTGCATGCTGCTCTGCTAATCTTGGAGAAGGAAGAAGACCTGCAAGAGTACAATGAATTAAGTCATGCAATGGTGGAGTTCTTCTTTACTCAGTAATAAAGATCATGAGATTTCTGCTTTTTGTTCAGTGATCTAGTAGCTTTTTGTTCTTCTTTATTATTTTTTGTTGCGGGGTATGCCCCTTTTATTAATTTAGTATGTACATTCACATGTATGTGAGAATTTTAGATATGATAAAAATGTTTGAAATTTTGGTTTTTATTAGTACTAAATTATATATGTGTGTGTATATACATATATATTGCAATCAATGTATCATGTGTATGCTTTTGATACCGCAGTGTCACTAGAATATGTGATGTAAAAGTGTCGCCGAATAGTTATGTCGCCAAGGTATCACTATTTAGTGATACTTCAGTGTCACTAGAGTATATGATGTAAAAGTGTCGTCGAATAGCTATGTCGCCAATGTGTCACTATATTGTGATATCATAGTGTCACAATTCTGTGACACTTGTAGTGACACTTAAAAAGTGTCACTAGCCCCCACTTTCAGCGACACTTTTTTAGTGTCACAGAAACTTTCAGTGACACTAATTTGTAGTCACTGTAAGGCATTTTTCTAGTAGTGGTGGCATGTTATTTTTGGTTTAAGAACATGTTTTTCTCTAAGGAAAAATAATATAAATACCTTAAATTTTGAAAAGGTGTAAGATAAATATTCTAAACTTGCATATGTGGTATATACCTTGAACTTTATATAAAAAGTTTTTTCACACAATGATTTTTTTTGAACGGAAACTTGCCTCTATTCATATCATAAGTTTCAGGATCATTAAATCAATCAAAGGAAAAATAAAACTGACACCAACTAAACTCCAACAACTACGACTGTAAACCCTATGATCAAACTTAGAGACGGTCGCCCCTGAAAGAGCAACACGAATCGCTAACCATGCAGCGGGCTTGACACAACCATCCTTGTTTCCATAGATCCAAACAAACCCAATGACATAAAAGGAGGCTAAATTCCCAAACAATCTTACAAACCTAACAACATAGACGGTAACAAGAAACCAAATGATAAAATAATAAAAACTAATAGGAGGAGGACGAAACATGGGAAAAAAACTAAATAAGCAAAACAAGTATCTTGAACCCTAGCACCTCATTCATCCCCTGGCGGTGGTTCAGGAGGAGGTCGGACCATCGCTATGATTGTTGACACGAACAAGGCACAGCTCCCGCTCGTCGCTCGATTGATTCCATGACGCGCAAACTCCGGATCCGTCTGCCCCGCAATTTCAGCCCCTCTGGACGGCTCCCTTTCTCCCTCCCTTGGCTCCCGCAAATCCTTCTCCATCGGCCGCCACAGCACGCCTAGCGATATTCCGGCGAACAATTCCTTCTCTGTTAACCTAATTGTCGCTCCAAAGGGCGACTAAATCTAAATGCCGCACACAAGACGTCAAATATAAATTTATTGTAATTAGCACGTAATTTAAAATAGTCTAATCTTTATTTGAATAAAATTAAGATTCTAAAATTTCATTTGTCAACTAAATAATATTACATGCATTACAATCTAATTTTAATTGCATTCTCATAAGTGTTTTGTGTATTTCAAATTATGTACTTCACGCTCTAAATTATATTTGTGAAGAAAACATATGATCATGGTGTTAATATAACTTTTTATATAAAGATTGAAATATATATACATTACATATGCAAGTTTGAGATACTTATCTAATGCCCTTTTAAAGTTTGGATATTTATGATATTTTCTTCTTTTCTCTAATACCCTCCACCCCCAATTACATGTTTTGGTTTAGTATAATTATTATTAACAAGATTTTAGTTTCTTTTCCACATTTAAGATTTGAGGAAAATAAAGTGCAATGACATAAATCATAAATTTCTTGACAGATAAAGAAATACCAAATTTGTTTAATTAGAAACAATTTAAAAAGGAATATAAGATATATAAATCTAAATAGATTAAGTATTAATTTATTTAAAAAAATAACATTTGTCCATATTTTAGTATACAAAAGTTTGTAGACATGGAGTAGGGTTGAGGTTTTCCCATAAACATTAGTGAAATGTAACTAATGGATAAAATTGTTACTATAGTTAATGTGCATAGTCGCTAAATCATTTTTTTTTCTATTGCCTTTATTCAGTCATATATTTGTCATCGTTTCGAGTTTATGTCAGAGATAATTATTTCCGAGTGAAGTTAAGCTTACAAACAATTTGTGTTGTATGAAGACGAGAGATTCATTTGAAAAAACTGCACATTGCTCACCTCCACAATTATATATGGAGTATATATTTTGGTATGCGCTCCTACTCAATATTATTTGAAAACACTATTTGTACACACTTTTAATACATACTTTTTTGTACACACTAGTAGTCTGGTACACTTGTTTGTGAACGAGTTATTTTTTATCTATGAATAGCATATATATATATATAGACAAAACATTTTATTAGCATAAAACAAAAATGGAAATCATTCTAAATTTATTAAAAGTGAAATTTCGATTGACTTTTTTAATTTTAATTTACAGTCTATCTTATTCAATTTACATATTATGTAGTTTTGATCTTAATTAGTGGCAAACTCATATTTTAACTTTTAAATTGTGTACTTAACTGCGTAAATATTTTTAGTTTTTTTTTATTTTACATTTTTACTTTTCTATTTGGAAATTTATTATTCGTATTCATTTAAAATATGAATTTTTACTGGGTCTTATGCTTTAATTTCTAACTAACTATATATTCTTTCCCCTCAGAAAATAGCTTATATTAAAATCATATTTTCCAACCATACAAGAACAAGATCAGACATAGTAGACAAATAAGAAAGACCAAAAAACATTACTTGATCATAACTTGTAGGACCAAACTCAGAAACTATCACCCACTCAGGAGCAATAAGATTTGTTAATCCTCAGTGAGCAATTGTAAGCCAATCATGATTGACATTATATCCTCGTCACTTATCCTATGTTGTACATTCCACTTGACAACAGTAAAAATCAAACAAGAGTCGCACGACTTTAAAAAAACAAGAGTCGCACGCGGCGGTTCAAGAGGCCGGGGAGTGAACCGTCGATCTATCTTCTCCATAGATCAGCCCTTCACCGATCTCCGTTTGCTCATAGCCCATGTCGCCTCTAGAATTGTCTATTATTTTCAACAACATTCATCGTCTCCTGTATGCTCTTGCTCGCACTCTGACGCACGCTAAATCCCCAATGAATATCAGTTGGTATACCGTGGGAACAGCCCACAGTGAGCATGCTGCTCCCACACAAAAAAACGTGTTACTGTTCACGCGTGTGAACAGTAACTTCTTTTTTGTTTTTTCATTATCCCAGTAGCGGAATAGGTGTAACTCGCGTGTAACAAAATGTAACTCACGTTAATAAGAAATGTAACAGCCAGCAAGTCAAAATGTAACTTGTCTAATACGAATTATAAGAAATAAAACATTGATTTTAATGAAAAAAAGGGGTCTAATTGCTTAATTACTTTACTTAAATAGTTTATATGTTTTTTAATATTAATAAGGATATAATTTTTTTTAATCTTTTTTTGCCAAAAAATCATTTTTTGGCCAAAAACTCATTTTGTTTTTGCAAAAAAAAAAGTAATTTTTTTATTGAATAACAGGGGTTAGCATAAATGGTGAATATTTTTTTTAATATTAAGTCCATAAAAATGTTTTTAAAAATATATTTTTTGCCAAAACACAATTTTTTTTTGGAAAACATTTTTTTTTTGCATAACAATGATTCTTTTGTTTCAATAGTAGGCTTTATGTTGTGATGTAATTCGTACGTATTACAGAAAATGTAACCCGCGTTCATTGCAAATCTAACTTTAGTGTATGCAAAATGTAACTTGTTGAGGCAAACTCAAATGTAACTCGCGTATAGAAAGATGTAACTCACGCACAAGAAGATGTAAATCATGCATAAGAAGATGTAACTCCATATAATATCAAATGTAATTATAGAAATTGTCTATAAACATAACTCACACATACGAAAAATGCATTATTCTCATGTTTTTTTCAAATTTAAATCGAAATAAACAACCTTAATGACTATAAAACACAAAAAACGTATAAAAGAGATAAGAAATATATTATAGAAAAAGTATATGAATATAAAAAATATTTTACAAAAAAAGTGTATAATAAATATAAAAAAAAGTATACAAAGTAAGAAATAGTGTATGAATATGAAATACAATATACTTATTTGGTGTGGATTAATTAAATTTTCTATTAAATTGGTAAAGAAAAAAATTAATTCAGTTCTTTCAAAAAAAATAATTCAGTTATAATTTAATTAGTTCAAGATAAAGATAAGTAAAAAATCACAAATAATTAGATATAACTCACACATAATCACATGTAACTCGCGCATAAATGTATGTAACTCGCGTATAAGAAGATGGAACTCACACATAACAAGATGTAACTCACGCATAATAACTTGTAACTGGAATATAAGATGATGTAACTTCGTATATTATCAAATGTAACTCCAAGCTAGAATCAAAATAAACAAACTCAATATCTTAAAAATCACTAAAAACATATAAAAGTGATAAAAAAATATTATAGAAAAGTGTATTCATATAAAAATATATTACAAAAAATGTATGAATGTAAAAAAGATTACAAAAAATAGTGTATGAATATGAAATGTAATGTACTTATTTTATTTAGATTATTAAACTTTTTGTTATGTATTGATAAAGAATTAAAAAATAGATTCAATTATAATTTAAATTGAAGATAAGGAAAAGTAAAACTACAATTAAATTTTTCATATTTTAATTTGATGGAAATGGAGAAGAATTAAAGAAAAGAAAAATAAGGAAAGAATAACAAAAGAAAAAGAAAGAAAGAAGCTCCAAAGAAAAAAAGAAAGGAACGTAACTTTGTAAAAGTGGGATCGGCACACCATGTGGAAGGTGGGCCGATCCCACGGTATAATTTGCCCAGATTATCTCACTGAGCAATTGTAAGTCAATCATGATTGACATTATATTCTCGTCACTTATCCTATGTTGTACATTGCACTTGACAACAGTAAAAATCAAACAAGAGTCGCACGACTTTAAAAAAAACAAGAGTCGCACGCGGCGGTTCAGGAGGGGAGTGAACCGTCGATCTGTCTTCTCCATAGATCAGCCCTTCACCGATCTCTGTTTGCTCATAGCCCGTGTCGCCTCTATAATTGTCTATTATTTTCAACAACATTCATCGTCTCCTGTATGCTCTTGCTCGCACTCTGATGCACGCTAAATCCCCAATGAATATGCCTCGCACGTAGGGATGGATTTAAGGGGGGGCGCGGGGGGCGGTTGCTCCCCTTGGACTTTCAAATGTATCTACTATATATGTAATATTTTCATAAATTTTTTGTACTTTAATTAGATATATATGTGTTCGCCCCCCTTAACTTAGTTTTCAAAATTAATATATCATACATTATGTAATACTTAATTGGAGAGTTAAAAGACGAAACATCTAAAATGATTTACATAACTTAAACAAATAAACAATAGAACAACTCATTGTTTAAGACTTTAATTTATCTTTAATATATAAAAAATCATAGTTTCGAAATGTTTAATTATCTCTAATTTATTAGATAATTAGTACTCGATTTGTAAAATATCAAACAATATTAAATACGAGACACGCTAGTTAAACAGTTTTTAGATCATGTGAAGTGAATTTAAAATTACACAATTCATTTACTTCTTACTTTTTAAAAATAATTCATTGTATAGATAATAAAGTTTAACTTATTTTAGGCATTAATACAAATTTAATATGCACCATATATAAGAATTAGCAATATAATATTATTTTAAAAATAATAATCTCAAACATAGTATTGTACTATTAGCAAAACTCCTCATGAGTTACGAACACCCTTCTTGATAAACAAAATTTGCAATTCAAAAATCAATTCATTGTACCGAGTACCGATAAGATTCATGTGATTAAACATGGCAAGAGTTATTTAACAAGCATTGGTGGTTGTGCACCTTTTAAACTCTTTACATTCAAATAATTTGATAAAATGTTATATATCCTCTTTTATTTTCAAATAATTTTTCTTTGATTTGCTATTTCTTACGCTTTAATGTATCAATACTTTTTTCTAAAACACTTACAATTATAAAATCAAAGTTATTTTTTCATTGTCTAAACTTAGAATGTAATATATTTAAATGTATGTACCCATGAATTCGTTTTGAATAAAAATTAGTCACAAAGCCCTACACTATTGAAAAAAATCGCCAAGCTACACTAGCGAAAAAAGTTTCACTCCACTACATTAGCGGAAAATTTTTTTGACCCCCTTTACTGAAAATCCTGAATCCAGTCCCCGCTCGCACGCTTAATCCAAATCTTGTAGCCGAAACTTCACCGCTGCCCCTTAAAGAAGCGCCGCCGGAAATCTGCCCCAAACTAAAGGCATGCTCGCGCGGCGGAAATACGAAACCCTGCACTTAGTGCCACGGAGATGCATCTTTGCCTAAATCTAAACTGAGATCCAATGTGCGATCTTCTTTGAAAAAGCACCAATGCGCCGCTAGGAGCACCGATACGCTTACTTCGAGTTGGACTTTGGTACACATAGGTAATCTTAATTGACATGGGGGGTGGGGTAGGGTGGGGTAGGATGGGGATTTTAACTATATACGAAGTATATTCTTATAAATCTAATAATTTATGCTGGTTTTTATATTGTTTACTTTTGATGTACTACCTCCGTCCCTTAAAACTCTGTCAAAGTTGACTGATACGGAGAATAATAAAGTAAAAACTGTGTGGTTGAGGTTTGTGAAGAGGATAGAGAAAATAACAGAAACCACAAAATAATTGATTAAAAGGGAAAATGCAAAGTTTTTTGGGACGTCCCAAAAAGGAAAGATGACAAAGTTTTAAGGGACGGAGGGAGTACTAATTAGCCAGTGTTTTAAAATTCTATTATACAATTGTTGTTTTCTTTCACGGCCTTAACGGTTGCATACCTACATACTCCATCCGTTTCCAAAAGAAAGTCACGGTTTGACTTCACGATTATTAAGGAAATAAATTGACTTTACTGTAGAAAACACTGTTTAGACACTGTTTGGCACTGTTTGGATAACGTTTGACACTGTTTCGCACTGTTTGGATGTAGATTTCTTTACCAAATAAGGAAATAAGGGAAGTGTGACTTTATTTTTGAAACATCTAAAAAAGGAAAGTGTGAGTTTCTTTTAAAAACGGAGGGAGTATGTTCCTGAATTCCATCTATGTCATAGAGGAATTTAGATCAGAAGTCAATTATATGTATGTATGAATATGAGAGATAATGTTAAGATGATTATTTTTATTTAATACTACGTCTAAAGAAGATGGTGTGTAGTAGTGGCGGAGCCAGAAAAACCGCTCAGGGGGTCGAATATGATGGATCGTTTTTAAACAATGTCCGAGTTGAATATTTCATATACAATTTAGATAAATGGGCACTCGTGGCAATAAGATAGATTGTCTTTGCTCTGTTTCTGAGTCGTGTCACATAAGTATTGAGTGAATTATATCCTATTTTACAAAATTGGGAATATAATTTATAGTATGCATCAAATTTTGCTAATTTTACATTTAGATAGTACTGATTTTCCAGAAGTCATAACTTTTTACACGTAATGAGTTACGATGGCCATAATATATCAAATCGAACATATTTCAGATCTCTATACTCTCGAACTTTCAGCGGGGTCAGCTGACCACCTTGACCCCCCTGGCTCCGCGCCTGGTGTGTAGGTGAAATTGAAAAAGAAGAACAAAAGATTGTATTTATGTTAAATATGTTCTATTTACGCTGAAAATGATATATTATAGAAAACATACTAATATTTGATTTTATCATATCTAACTGTATGTTCTCCAGTTTCAAGCGATTCATATCTCGTTGATGGTCATTTTGAGTTCTAAAATTAGTGTTCCGACTTCATTTACAATGATTTAAGGAATATGTACGGAGTAATGTGAAATTCATAAACATTCCTGATTTTGATAAGAACTCGTGTAATATTTGATCTGATCATATCTTGTTATATTTCATTCGGTTTCAAGCGTTTTATATCTCATTGGAAAGATCTTATAGAGTTTTAAAACTCGTATTCAAGCGTCATTTTCAAAATATTACGGGATGATTACCTAATGAACCGATTTCAAATCCAGGACTGTAATTACGCTAAATATGCTCGAATTCAATCATATGTGTGATATGAGACAAAAAGTTCATATGTCTATTTTTATTTAATATATATAAAGAACATGGTGTGTAGGAAAAAGAGAAAAAGAAGAGGAAAAAAGAAATAAATTTTAGATCTAGGTGTATGTGTTGTTGTCCCACACCGGATGCCTCTGAAACAATTAAACACTATATTAAGATCTGAGTTACTCCTCATATTAAGTTGACCTTTTAGAGTGGAACTTCGAAACTTAACATGGTATCAGAGCCAAATCGATCCAGGTGTGGGGCCCCTATGAAAAAATGATGACAATTAAAAAAATGACAATGACGAACCGATGAAAAAATGAATAACAACACGATCCAGACGAAGTATCTGATCGTGAGGAGGGGTGTTGTTGTCTCACAACGGATACCTCTGAAACAATTAAACACTATATTAAGATCTGAGCTACTCCTCATATCAGGTTGATCTTTTAGGATGAGATCTTAGATCGACAAATCCTAACTGTATGATATGATCTATTGATCTATATATGGACATTAGGGAATCGAGAAGCAAAAGTTAGACGAAAATGAGTTAAAATTATATTTAAAAAACTGCAAATTAATAAATTAATATTGTGATGGAGGAGTAACTCCTTGTTTTGTTTAGTGTTGATCTTTAAATGCATTGCTGTGTATATTTAATACTACCTCCGTCCCGGAATTATCTCCTTATTTGACTGGGCACGGGTTTTAAGATAGTGAAAAATGTGTGGTGGAGAGTTGTGCAGAGGAAAGAGAAATGTGTAAGAATGGTTGTGAACCACAAATTCTTTGCCAAAAAAGGAAAGAGGAGATAAATTTGGGACGGACCGAAAATGAAAGAATGAAGATAATTTTGGGACGGAGGGAGTATATATATGGGCAAAATTAGGTAACTAATTGGTGATATTAATTATTGGTCGCATAAGTGCTAGATTACATTGATGTCTGATTTCTGATATATGTCCATTAGATCTACCCTTCACATGTTCTTCTGTCCCATTCCGCCTTTAGAGTCCGGCAATCCAACAACTCCAACATATTGAAGGGTAATCCATCATCAACCACTACTCTGAAATCTGAATGAGTTACTTTTCAAGGATTTTGTCACTGTGTTTTGGTGCATTTATATTCATTGTTGGAATGTTTTCAATTATGGTATATTTGTGACAAGAACCTACTTTTGAATACACCTTAGGTTTTCAAATAATCCTATTTTAGAAAATATTCAAATGAATATGTTTGCAGGTTAAGTTTTCTTTGTAAGTAAACTTAACATATTAACCGATGTTAACATTCACAATCACATGATTTTTACTAACTTTAAATTCAATTAAATTCATCACGTTTAGAGAGTGTTTGCGATTTTTCTACTTTTAAAAAAGTTATTTTTTAAAGTGATTTTGGAGAAAGTGCTTAATAATAAAAGTTGGTAGTGTTTGAGAAAAAGTAATTTTGAAAAAATAAAAGTTGATAGTGTAGTAAATTAAGTGTTTTTTGTGTAATAGAAAAAGTGAAAAACAGTTTAAAGCGTCACTCTATCAGTCTATCTGCTTCCAACTTTTAGCTTTTAAATGCTTAATTTAAGTAGAAGCTGTCACTTGAAAACACTAATTTCATCTTTTTTTAAGTCAAAAGTTGAAAAGCGTTTTTTTTTGTAAACACTCCCTTACTAAGGATGTTTTTACTTGGACTGTAAGTTGCTGTTCTGGTCTGAACTGGTCTGCTCTGATCTGATTTCTTTGTATTTTTATAACTATCCAAGTCTGGTCTGGTCTGAACTGATCTGATATAGTCTTGGAGGAATTACAGTCCAAGTAAAAACATCCTTAATGTCATGTTATTATTGAATTTTTTATTTACTCGGACACTTTTTAGAAACAAGGGGGTGATTTAAGTCTCAAAACTTCATTTGGTCATTTCCAATGGAAAATATGTCTTTTTTCATGGTGATAGGGCATGGCACCGATTGAGAGGGACGGGACCCGGGAAGGATCTACGTATAGGTTAGGGTGAACTAAAACTCAGTGTAACTTACTATATTTCAAATTTTTAGCATAAATTTTTTCTTTTTTTTTATATTAAGCTCACCCCGTTAATGTTTAAGCCTAATATAATTGCTTTGAATGTAGGACATCTCAAATTTTTGGATCTGCCCCGGGACGGGACAGTCACAGTAATATGCTGGGAGGACAAATTAATGTATATACGTCGTATAATGTTTAAGCCCATAAATGTTAGCAGCGGTGGGCTTAAACATAAGAAAGTATGAAATTTGATGAATTTAGATAGACAGGTATATCAGTTAGTTGGATAGAGAGAATAAAAGAGGGATGGCAAAAATTAAGATTCTAATGAATACTCCCTCCGTTTCTGAAACAAGTTCCACATTTGACTTCACACATATTAAGGAAAAAAATTTGATTTTACTATGGAGTGCACTGTTTAGCACTGTTTGAACACTGTTTGACATTGTTTGACACTGTTTTGATGTAGATAATTTGCCAAATAAGGAAATGTTTGAAAGTGGAACTTAATTTTTAATCTGACCGAAAAGGAAAGATGGAACTTGTTTCAGAAACGGAGGGAGTATGTGATACTTCAATGAATATGTGTGTGTGTGTATATCCATTGTAAGCACATGGGAGCTGATACTCGTATTGTCGGGTACTCGGCAAAAGTGTAGACGAAAACTATCCAAAGTTTTTAGGCTATTTAGCAAATTTCTAAAAGAAACGAATTAGTTTAGGCAACTAGAGTACCGGACGGAAAAAGAAATATGAAAAGTTTAAAATATAGGAGTATTTGCGCAAATTATAGAGTTTTTTATATAAATATTACTACTAGTAAATGGGTTTACATTAATATGACTAAACTCAAATCACACGCACGCGCGACTGTTAGTAATGAAGGGAAATTACAAGGATGCCCTGAACGGTTATGGAAACGGCTAAATTTCAGGATTTCTGGAGCGGATAAACAGGTAACCGTAAGAATGTGTAGTCAATTACGTATGGAAGCCAGGGCAGAGCGCGAATGCATACTTCGACGGCCGATAATTTGAGGTTCCGGAGGTGAAGAAGATTCAGATTTTGCAGGTTGGTTACTATGTTTATCAATTACTTGAACATGAATGTGATGTTATTTCATTTACGATGGATGTTATGGACTTATGGCAGTAATTGAGATTGAGAAATGAAATCGAAGCATGATTTGTGGATTACGTTCATGTGTTTTAGAGACATGCTGATTGAGAAATGTAATGGAAGCATGATTTGCATGTTGATAAGGTTCATGATTTGTTAACGTGATTGCGTAGTAATGATCTACGGTAATGAAGCAACAACATATGTATATTGTGGTAGAGAATTAGTGGTAGTGATAGTGTCGTAATTATCTGCGATAATGAAGCAACAACATATGTCTATTGTGGAAGAGACGTAGTGGTAGTGATAGTGTAGTAATGAGATCAAGGAAGTGAATTTTAGTGGCCGTGAATGTGTACCAATGAATGCTTTTGTAGTTTGAGTAATTAAATTTAAGAAATGAAAGGTATTCCTGTTTTGTGAGTAATGTTCATGATTTGTAGTACATGAGCAGTTTTGTATGGTACGATTGTGTTCTACGTTCTGGACTTTAATAGGGTGGGAATGTAGTAATGAAAGTGTGTAGTGAATGCAAAGTATGGATATAGTTTGGTAAACTGGTCGTGATTGATTAGCAGTGACAAGTTTGTAAGTTGCAGTAATTAAATTTTGAGTCATGCAAGATAGGAAACTTTTATGGTAAAAAAGCATGAGTATATAGTAGTAAATAACCCAATAATTTCGCTCTCCTTATCAGTACACTACATTGTTAAATCTAAAATTTCTTGACCACATATTTTCTAAAATGGAGAAATAAACAATGGGTATCTATGTGATTTAGTTGTGTAAACAGTGTTAGCTTTTACTACTCAAGAAAGTCCTGAGTAGCTTCTCAAAGTAGTTGGTTTGTGCAGGGACATGGAAACATTATTAGTCACAGTGTTGGTGGGGAATGGCTGGGATGAAAAGAAGGTATTTCAAACTAAATCCACGCACGGTATGGTCGTTAGTTGTGCCACAACGTATGAAGAACTGGTGTCTAAGCTGCGAGATTTATTAAGAGTGGATAAAGAAGGCCTGAATTTTCGAGTTGCGTACCTTATCGATGAGTCATATACACCTACTGTTGTTGATAGTGATATAAGCCTGCGTTTTTATTTGCAAGTAAAGAACATGGTTAGGGATAAAGTAGGGGCTTTTCCAATGTGTGTAGAACTGGATCACAGGGAGATTGAAGTGCAGAGTAGAGTGAATGAGGGGACGATTGTGGCTACAGATGGTATTATCAGTGATGACTTGTTTACTGGTAGTGAGCCTAACGAGAGCATTAATATGGAGCTGCCATTGTGTTCTGATAGCACTTCATATGGACATGCGCAAGGTGATTTTTTAGGGGCAACACTACAAATGAATGCAATATACCCTTCAAAGGAAGAGTTTAAAGAGACACTACAATTGTACGCGCTGAAGAATAAATTCCAGTACTATACAAAAACATCTCATCCGGGAGTTTTACATGTTGTGTGCGTTGGTCGTAAATGCAAGTGGGCAGCTAGAGGTGTTAGGATCAAAGACACAGAATGCTTCAAAGTAAGAAGGTACGATTAATCTACTTCATGCTGCTTTCCTATTAAGTTCAATTACTGTAATGTAAAAATGATTTGATGAGTTTATTGGATTTGTAGAAAGTAGTTATATTGTGATGTAATGAACTTTATTTATTATTTGTAAATTGAATGAACAGGTTTGATGACGTCCATACATGCTCAGTTGATTATAGATTAAATGGGAGTCGTCAAGCAAGTGCTGCACTTATTGGTAAGTTGGTGAAACATCAGTATATGGATGCCTCAAGAAAGCCATATCAGCCCAAATGTATAATGGCAGACCTGAAACGCAGTTTAGGAGTGATGATGAATTACCAAAAAGCTTGGAGGGGGAAAGAGTGTGCGCTTCGAGCATTAACTGGATCTGATTTTGAGTCTTATAGGAAGCTTCCGGGGCTGTGCTATATGCTACTAAAAAAAATCCAGAATCACATATAGCACTAGAGACAGACAATGAGAAGAATTTCAAATATTTCTTCATGTCGTTGGCTGCATGGCGGAATGGGTGGCAGTGGTGTCGGCCGGTAATAATAGTTGATGGCTCGTTCATGAAAGCAACGTTTAGGGGAACACTTTTGACAGCATGTGCTCTTGACGGAAATAGACAGATATTTCCTATTGGTTTCGGAGTGTGCGATAGGGAAAACAATGATACGTGGAAATGGTTCTTCACACAACTGAAACAAGCTATTGGAGACAGGAAAGACTTGTGTGTTGTTTCTGATAGGAATGAGGGTATAATTAATGCTGTTAAGCAAGTGTTTCCATACGCAGACCATGGGTATTGTGTGCAGCATATTTTGGGAAATATAACCACTAAATTCTGTGGCAAGAAAAAACGAGTAATTGACCTGGTTAATGCAGCGGCGAGGGCATCAACGAGTAAATTGTGTGAATATTTGTTGGGATTACTAGATGCTGAAGATCCTAGAATACGAACCTATCTGGAAAAGATTGGGAAAAAAAATGGGCGAGGTCTGCATTTAAGCGCCGAAAGTACTCAATCGTGACCTCAAATAATGCTGAATCCATGAATGCTATGAATCGATTAGCTCGAGAGTATCCCATCTCTACTCTTATAGAGTTTTTGAGAGATAAAATGCAAGATTGGTTCTTTAAGAGGAGGACTTTGGCCAATGAAACAACCACAACACTAACACCGGCTGCAGAAACAATGCTAGTAGAGCGTCTCTTTAGTAGTCGTGGAATGATAGTAAGAAAAATTATATTAAATTTTATTTTATTAGTTAAAGAATGGTAATGTCCAGAGTATTTATTGTGATGTGTAATTCTTTAAAATGTGGTTAAATTATAATGCAGGTGAAACCAAGTACGGGTTGCAGCGCAGAAGTAATTGACTTGTCATGTAAGGCATTTGTGGTGAATCTAGAGGAAAGGAGATGCACTTGTAGAGAATTTCAGTTGGAAGATTTTGTGTGTGTTCATGCGGTTGCTCTTATAGGACACTTAAATGGGCTATCATGTTATGACTATGTGTCATGTTATTACAAGACAAGCTCATGGCGTGGGGCATATTCTGGAATTGTTCATCCCATTGGGTCATATGAAGATGATGAAATTCCAAAGGAGTACAGGAGGTGGGAGGTTAAACCTCCTCTATGCAAAACAAGAACTGCCGGGAGGCCGAAGTCAAAGAGGATTCGTTCTGTTGGTGAATTTGGATCAAGACAGAAGTGCTCAAGATGCAAGCAACATGGCCATAACCAAAAGACTTGTAATAACCCGATCCCGCTATAAGTGACGCGAGAATATGTTCCTACATATTTTTAATTTTTTTTCCCTTTCAAAGAACGTGTTTTGTTTAGTGGGTTTTCAGATTTCATTTATGCACTTGAACTATGAAATAGTTTTATGATGTAATTTCGTACTTGTACTTGCCTCTGTTTCAGATTTCAGAACACAGGAAGTTAATGTTTCATGCCATACAAATTATTTAAGTAATATTGGTGCCTCTGTTTAACATAGTTGATAAAACAAAAAAACTGAATGAGGTATTGGTGTCATGGATATGTGGTTTTTAGTAATGGATTTATGATAATGGTAAGCATTAGACATAGTGAGAATTTTGTTATTTCAGAGTTCCAACAGCATGAAATTGAAGGAAATAGTAATTGAAATATTCATCTTTGTATGTTTCACTTGATGTACAAGGATTAGACGAAAATTAGAGTTGCTTGCAGAACATAAAGACTTTGAAGGACTGATGTAGAATTGAAGTGAAACTAGTATTGCAAAACATATAAAAAGTTGTAGTCATTTCCAATGAAAATGGAAGAGTATCCAAAATAACAAGAAACAGTGCGGGATGATTCAAAAATAACAATTTCTACAGAGATGGGTGTTAGGTAAAGTAAGTTCTGATGTGCATCTTCAGGAGTTAAGCTTCTTTTTCATTTCGGAGCCCATATTGATACAAGTCATGAGCCCATTTTGCCCGATACTCTGGAATCTTGGATGGACAAAGCTTATTGATATCAATTCCCATCTGTAGAAGCTCCGCAAATTTCAGCATGAAGATACCACAATCTCCCCTGCAATAAATGTAGTAATTAGAATCTGAATTTGAAAAAAGTACTAAAATGTTAGATTCATTTCATGAATACCCATTATCTTGTTGCGGTACAACTTTAATGACTTCCAATTTGTATGATGGGGGGTCATTGAATGATGCATTCTGGTTATGGGCCTTGAGTGCAGCTACAACTTTGGGAAGGTAATGAATTAGGCCACGCATGTACTGAACTGTCTTTGGTTTCTTAGTAGCACGTCGGTTGTTTGAGTCATACATAAACAAACAGTGACTGTGAATATCCAACACAACCAAACACCAGTGCGACTCAAATAGATTTAAAGGAATGTATACACGATCACACTCCCAGAATGGTAGCATGTAGAGTTCCTCTGCACCTGCTATTTCATCCACTAAATAACCATCAGACGCAGAGTCTTCTGGATGAACAACGCCAACCTTGTATTTATCATACAACTTATTCAAATAGTCAGGGATGTATGTGCAGCAAGTGGAGAAGTTTTCAGTATATGGATACGTAGCTGCCTTCATACGGAGATAGAAGCATATTACTTGAACATGCTACAAGTAAATGTATTTAAAACTAGTATAAGTTACTGACTGTGATTGGGTATTAAAAGTAGATAGTCATGGCATGAAATGGAATAGATTTTGGTGAATGAATATAAATATAAATATATGTGTGTACATTTGTAAATTAGAAAACATACCACGGCATCTAGCCACTGGGCAGGTTCATGTAGACGGTATATCCATGACTTGCTGTCTATGATCACATCATAGAAAAAAACCAAGTTAATTGATTTATCTTCTTCTGATAAATACTTCTTGGGTATAGATGTAGATCGATGCCCTCTTACTACTCCTTCCATGATGTATTGTGAGAATCTAAGCCGCTCAGATGGAGGTTTCAACTCAGCAAAAGGGTCTAGAGCAAATGGGCAAAGTAAATGAGACGGGCGTGGTTTCTTGCACTTTTGGAGTGCATATGAACCTGGGGTGTAACGGGCTGGTGAACGAACTCTCCTTTTGGGATGCTCCTCAGGTACTGAAATCATAGGCTGAGATACATGTAATGTAGTTAGCTAGGTTGTCCGTTTTAAAAAATAACAAATTTTAGTAAAACAGAGCATGTAAAATTTATGTCAGAGTAAGGATTGAGAAAGTTAACCTGTTTAAAGACAATAGGTTTGTGTGAGTCGAGTGCGTCCTTGGGGAGCTGGATGTTCTCACCATCCTGTTATAAAAAAAATGTGAATCAACAACTTAAATGTAAATAAAAATGGAATTATGAAGGTTAGAAACCTGATTGAGATAGATGTTGCTGATATGTGGTTGAGACTCTTCAGCATTACTGTCCTTAAAACCTGAGATATTGGTATCCTACAAAGTGGGAAATAAATATAAGATATGAAGAAGGAAGGGTGTTATAGAGTAATGATAATGTTATGTCTTAAAGTTGCAAGAGGAAAAGTGTATACCTTCGGATCATACATGTCAAATGCAACATTAAGAATTTGAGTCATGGAAAAGTCTAATCCTTCCTCAGGAGCATTGTTGGGGTCATTGGTGGTAGGAGAGTCAATATAAACACCATTGTGGGTGGGCTGGACTTTTTGATAGGCAGATGACCCGTGTTGTGGTGGCTGTGGAACTGAAGTAGTACGCAAAGGCGAAGTATACTGTCCAGTAGACTTATCATGAAGCTTCTGTTCAAGCATGAGGATGACTTCATCTTGATCCTTGACCTTGGTCTGTAATTCAGATATTAAAGCTCGTAATGAATTCAATTCATCATTGAAGACAGCTGTTTTGGCTACAAACTCAGACCGGGGTAAAAATCTTCCATCCCAGCACATCCATCTTCACCCTTGGAGTTGTCTGTCCTCCTTGTTGACTGTTTATTAGCCCCGACTGCTACCTTTGACTTCTTCCTGCTTTGCTTCTTCTCGGAAGCAGAGCATGGGGTAAGTTTTGATGTTGGTTTGGGAGTGACGGGAGGGTTTGTATCCATAAGAATTCCAGCTCGATGAAAGTTGTCATGATTAAGTTCTATGGTGGAGGGGATAATAGGCTGGAAGACAAACTGAAATGCATGGTTACAAAAAATAACAGAATGTTAGTAAAATATAATGTAGTTTTAGTAACATGAAACGCAGAAACTGATAATAGTAATAATAAGATTTACATACATTTGGGTTGCTAAAGATAGAGCAGTTCAAGGTGTTTGGGTTTTTTTTGGCCGACGTCCATCTTAAAACCCTTGGAAAAGAATCTGGATCCACTAACAGAGCCAAGCCAACCTCTCTTAGAGCCGGAAAACTCTCAAAAGCCCATACTTGTAGAGCCACAACACAACCATACACATTATAATGTGCTTCATTTAACTTCAGACATTTAGCACCATTTGTAAAGCAAGAAACCATATCGTTCCAAATGACCCTACCCCACGGATAACTATTAAACGCGTCTATATCATCGATTAAATTTAGATATGAACTGTTTAGTGCAACTTTTGGGTCAGCGGGAAGGAAGGAATGAGATAGGACATATATTAGTGAAAGTCTAATTATATCTTCGTCAGTCTCGTTACCCTTGACCAAAGACTGGTATAGTAACTTAATATCACTACGTGTGACCCTAGAATGGGTGGGGGAAAATTTGAGCCAGAACGCACCCCGATAGGAAGATTCTTGTTCGACAGTGGGGACAGTGTCATGGCAATTAAAACCAAGAATAGTGGTGAAATCTAACACAGAAAAACAAACGAGCCTATCCTGAATCTCAAAGTACATATGAAAGGGATTGGCAACATTCTCAACCTCTACCAAATTCCCTAACAGATAATGTATGAGTAGACCACTGCAACACATTTTCCTAGCATCAAGAAACGGACCAAAGGCTGTTTTCCTAAAGAGTTGAACTTGATGAGGTTCTAACTTCTGCTTTACTAAAGAGACCGAGTCAAACAACCTAGAATATGTGTTTACTTTCCTGTTCTTTATGAACTTATAGACTATGGACTTTTTCACCAGCCTCTTGTACATCTGTAGGGAACATAACATCAAAGTTAGTTAGTAATATTGTCATAGTTAGTAGAAGGGAGGGAAATAAATGTACACTTACATGCTTAGGTTTATGAGTGGATGGGGCTTTCACGGATGACCGCACGAATGGTGTTGAAGATGACAGAGGTGTAGTGAAATCATCATTGTCTTCCATGATCTGATTCAGAAAAACATAGAAGTAAGAGCAACATTGAATAGTAGTTCATTTTAGTTTTCTTTTTCTATAATTTTGGCTTCCTGATTTTCCTTCATAATGTATTGTAGTTACTAATTGTTTTGTCAATGAGGAACATCAATTCCAGATTTTTTTATTCCTTCGTTCAAGTAAGTTCACTATGTCTTAGTTACTGTCACCATGAGTTGCTTAAAGTTCATTTTGAAGGAAAAAAACAAAGCTTTTAATTGCCAAGGCTTCCTTGTATGGAACTAGCATTTACACTTTTTTAGATAGTATATGACACTCTTTAATATGTTTTGAGTTTGAGAAGTATAATTCTGAAAAATTGGACCCATGAATTAGAGACAGAGACATGCTGATATTGTAAGACAATGTACACTTACATTCTTAGGTTTATGAGTGGATGGGGCTTTCACGGATGACCGCAAGAATGGTGTTGAAGATGCCAGAGGTGTAGTGAAATCATCATTGTCTTCCATGCTCTGATTCACAAAAACATAGAAGTAAGAGCAGCATTGAATGGTAGTTCATTTTATACTTCTTTTGCTATAATTTAAATGAGTAAAGGAAGACACAATCTGTAGTTCATTTTTTGACACAATCTGAGTAAATGAATGGTAGTTCATTTTATACTTCCTTTTCAAACACACATCTACGCAGCAGGTAGTTCATTTTTGCACACCAGAAGCTGTAGAGCCTTCCTGATACACAATCTGTACCATACCAAAAAAGAAACACACACAGAATGGCATTTTGATAAAGTAGAGCCTTCCTGATACACAATCTGTAGAGCCTTCATGATACACAATCTGTACCATTTTAACAACACCCAGATTGGCAGGTCTTTTAGACAAATCAGACAAACTGTTGAATGTGTGTTAGAGTAACTTTCACAATTCTACTTCTCAAAATCAAAATATTTTAAAGAGTGTCATATACTATCTACAAATGTGTAAATGCTAGTGCCATAGAAGGATTAACTCAAATCAGGGAATCTACTATAACACAAAACACATATCCTGATGCACAATCATACTTTCAGAACATTACATTTTATTTTCGAAACAGAGGGCTTTCAAAGATTTCTCATTTTTATGAAATCATAAGACTATAGAATGAGGAGAAGAATGGAAGATTACAGCAACTATTCGTTATAAAATTGCAACCTAGCCGTTCCAATTCAGTGATTCTTACCGTGATTGTTGCAACTTCGCCTTGCATGCGCATATCAACTTCCGTTGCAGAGATTGAAGAATTTGAACTCAATCGTCAACATGCAAGCGGGTTAGGGCAGGGTTTTTAGTAAAAAACCTGGAATGAGAGAGTGAAGAACGATGTAGATATGGAGGAGTGCCGTCTGCGAGATTTCAGTATAGATAAGCGGGAACGATGCAGATAAGTCGCAGACGGTTACTCGAAAACTTCTCCCAGGTCAAATACGGAATAATGATAAGTCTCTTTAACTGATTATGATCGGTAGTAATATAAAAGTAAGAAGGATTTAAATGAGTAATATTTGTGTAATATTTTCCAAATTATATGGTGCAACCGGCGCACCATGAGGATGGTGCGCCCGGTTGCAAAAACGACGCAGCATCTCTTTTTTTTTTTGCTTTTGATGTTAAAAATGATAATAACTTTTTTATTTTTGATCTGATTTTTATATCAACATTTCTTATTTTTCATGATCTTTCAAATGAGACCAATATTGTGTATGTAATTTTAAGAAATTATCGAACTATTATATAAATGAGTATTGGATTATAAGAAAAATTGAATCTGTTTGGGAGATGATAAGTTTGTGAAATAGAAGATCGAATCTGTTTGGGAGTGGATCAGTGGCCTCAGTTACATTTGATAATACATTGAGTTACATCTTTTTATGAGCGAGTTACATCTTTTTATAAGCAAGTTACATCTTTTTATAAGCGACTTACATCTTTTTATAAGCGAGTTACATATATATATACACACGAGTTGCATTTGACATGTCTGAACGCGACTTACATATATTTACACGTAAAGTTACATATTTTTACACGTAAAGTAACATATTTATACACGCGAGTTACATATTTATACACACGAGTTGCATGTGACCTGTCTAAATGCGAGTTACATATTTTTTTTACGTAAAGTTACATATTGTTACACGTAGAGATACATATTTATACACACGAGTTGCATTTGACTTGACTGAACGTGAGTTACATATTAACACTTAAAGTTACATATTTTACACACAAATGTTAATATGTTAAAATTACATAGGCAATATTGATCTCATTTGAAAGATCATGAAAAATAAAAAATGTTGATATAAATTTTATAAAAATCGGATCAAAAATAAAAAAGTTATAACCATTTTTTAAAAACAAAAGGAAAAAAAAATATAAAGCCGTCCCGGTATACGGTGCTCACCGTATACCGGTTGCACAGTATACGCACTCGAGTATTTGGTACAGTTGATTGAAAATATACTTTTTGTAACGTTTTCAGTAATTGTTATTATTTACTATTAGTTACTGAAAAGATGTTAAAAAATAAAAGGTTTGTAATTATTTGATAAAAAATTGACAAATTCTGTTTCCTATAACAAATTGTTGTACTAATTGGGAGGACAATCTTTGGTATGCTGTCTTTGTGTTTTACTAAATGTCACTCCAACATAGGGATGGAGTCCAACATAGGGATGGAGTCCAACATCTACTTACTAATGTCTGAAACAGACCTCTCCCCCAAATTGATTACAGAAAACGACTCACTAATCAACTAACATTCAACTGATAATGTATCTGAATTTCTGAACCAAACTCCATAAATAAATTGATCTAAAAAGAATGACTTAGTAATCAACAGATCGTGTCGACGTTCGAAAAAGATTCTGATGGATATTGCCAGTTTGTCACTACTAATACTTCTATTAGTGAATAAATAAATGATTCATTATAGTAAAAACTACAAAGAAAAGCTTAAGAAAATAAATTATAATACTACCACTAATAATAACAACAATAATAATACCACTACTTATTAGCTGTGCAAAGGGCATCATCATAGCCATTGAAGCTGTTCAAGAAGGTGGGAAGACTGGCATTATTCTACACTTCATCTGCACTTTTCATCCTAAAGCTTTCTTCGACCCAAACGCAGAGTTCACCCCGGCCAAGTTCTCCCCTATACTGTAAATGGAAGTCCATCTCAATACAGTTATTTCACATTTACCAGAGAACAAGGAGAAATATATTGAAGTAGTTGTCATTTAAGATTTTTAACACAGAGAGGGTTCAGTTTGAAGAACCTACATCAGATGTCTAGATTCGGTTGAAATAGATGGATTAGAAGGAGATAGGTTTGATTGGTCTAGTGGTACACCTGACTCTGGAGAACCATGAAAGCTTGAGGATCCATTTCCTGAAGACATCCCTGCAAAATATATATATGTAAACTTATAAGGATTTTTATACTTCAAATTTTAAATAAGATATTGAGGTAAAGTGGCCTATCCGCACCACCACTGTCAGACAACAATGAATAAAACATCCAGCATTTTTCAAGGAAAATGCTAGGGAAAAGGAAAGAAAATGTTAAGGAAAACTATTTTAGAATGGTCAGTTTTACCTTGTAAAATACGATAGAAAAAAGAATATGAATAAAGTTTCAATTTTTTTTCATTTGTTTAGATTTCCTAATGTTTACATAATATAAATAAAATTTTAGACCAATCTGAACTAAGAATAAACATTAACTTATCAAGTGTTAACCTAAAATTTATTTTCTTCAAAACTTTCTTTCCTCATGAGTTTCTTCTGTATTTCATGGGAAGTAAACGCAAACTAAAAGTTCACTCTTTCGGATGAAGATACAAAATGTCCAGGTAAACAAATGATGGTGGATATGTTACAGATTTCTCAAACAGAATTTTCCTCAGTTGAGAACCCTCTAAGGCTCTGTTTTTGCATAAAAATGTTAACCTCGAAATTGTTTACAGACTTTCCTGTCCTGCAGATGAACCCTGTTTCAAGTGCACCGAAAATATCTACCTAAAAGGAATATTTTACTTAAGTTTCTTTACTTTTGTGAAAATGAAGATCACTTCCCCTTTTGAAAACAAGTAAGATTTGAGTTGTATGGTTTTTTATGGGTCAAAGTGTCAACCATTATATTCTACCTCAAACAAATTATTTTATAGGGATTTTTTTCTATGAAAAATCAATTCCACAGGGAGCATTTTACTAGAAAGATTTGTTATTTTCCTGGAAAGAAGTGGAGTCAAGTAAGAATTCAACAAGAGCTTTTATGAGACTATAAATGTAACACCAACAAGTATGCATATCCATCTTAAGGAAAAGGTAAATGGGTGGTACTAGAAAAAACAAGAACATAACTACATAAGTTATTTTGTAGCTCAAATGATTGTTCAAGGCATAAGACTGAAAAAAAGTAGTCCAAATTAAGAAACAAGAAAGCTAGTTGAGGGTCTTCACCTTGGAAGATTAGCACCATGAAGAACACAACGGTGAAAAACATAGCGAAGAAACTCCCATTAAATGCTGATGAAACGGACGATGCCTTTACAGCTTTCAGTTTCTTCAAAGCCTTCATTCGGTCAATCCTTGCACGTTTTATCAACGCAAGTTCGTGTATTTCTTTGATCAGCTTTTGGTCAGCAGCGTCTAATGACAACCCTCTTGGAGGTCTAGGGGGTTTGGGAGGCTTCTTGGCACTTATGGACTTTCTTTTCTCCTTCTCTACTTTCTTTTCCATTATATTCTCTAACATTGTCCCTTCAATCTTTCCAGGAGGCAAAACCTCCCCCTCATTTTCACATTTATATGAACTACCTACTCCAGTCGTAGTCCCATCAGTCTCAATATCAACCACATATTCTCTTTCCGTACAACTCATATCACAACTTTGAGCTTCAAGCCAACCACAATCTCATAAATTATTTGGTCTCAATCCCAAACAGGTGCTTTGCTACTTCTGATTACAAAGCATTTAAACGAAGAAACATTGATAACTTCCAAAATTTCCCAAAAAATGAGTAGAAGATGCACCCCACCCGAGCACAGAACTCGCCTTACAGTCGAGAAAGTAATTAAATGATCATGAATTAAAAGTAAACTTCTCCCTCACATTAGGCCCGAAAGATTAAAATATTAAACAGAACTTACTAAAACATGGGTCATGTGCGTTGAAAGGAGTGCTCTCTCTTTATGTAAAAGAAGAATGAATATAGTTCATATTTCTGGTTTTAGGTGTGAATTAGTCCTATTTAAAAAAGAAATACAAGGAACCTCCTGTTTGAAGGCATGGTTATACTTAGTCCTATTCATGGAATTCTCTCAATGTTAGACTACCCAAATTTCAAAAACAGAAAAAGCAGTTAAATATTCATGACCCAAAAGATTTAAACTTAATGGCTCTGTAAATGATTACGAACGGACAGCAATCTTGAACTCAAGAAGCAAAATCATCAAAACTGACAAAACACAAGGAACAAATGAAGCAATAAACTACCAAACCATCTCAAATGATATCTCATGAGTGTTAAACAAGCACCAATTCCAAATCATACCAAGCAGAAAGTTATACAGATTCAACTAATTTTGAAATTTTGATTTACTTACAAAGATAAAGAAAGGAAGCCCGGAAATGGACAGATCCGAATAAGAGGGATTGGGTAGTAGTGAGATCCCGAACTGAAATATCCAACGGTTCGATACTTCGGTTAAAGATCACAGCTTTGAGCACCCAAAGTTATAAAGAAGGCGTGACAGATAAGGATAACCGACGCGGTGGGTAAGGGGGTGTGGGTCCTCCTCCAGTCTGGGAACACCAGAAACTGCTGTAATTTTTTTTGTTGGTTTAATGCTATTTTCAGTGCCTTGCATTTATATTTGGGAAGGAGAAGAAGGCGAAGAAGATGCTTTTGCATATGCTGTACTGCCACCGACAGTCGCTCCCAAACCCCGTCGTGGAAGAAATGTAGGACCCTCTAACTCTCTAAGCTCAGTCGTGAATTAGTGGTCGGTAAAATTAAACAGTATTCATAGGAGCTCTGGAATATTTAGGTGCCGTTTAATATTTTTCTTTTTAAAAAATTTGGAAAATTTAAAAAAAAAAGAAAATTGAAAAACATGTTTAGATTTTTATTATCTAAAATAATAAAAGAAATTTATCTATATTTTCTTCTATCGTTTTTCTGTGTTCTCCGAAGCGGAAACATGTCGCGTGTCAAGCATTTTAATGCTCTCGATGTGCAAAATGAAAACACAAAATTTGAGAACAGAAAATAGAAAATAGAAAATTTGAAAACTAAGGAAAGTAGTAAACAAGCTGCTCTTAATTTTGTGTTTTACTGTTTGTTAACAATCCCAACTTTGTTAGATCGCTCTAAAAATGCACCTAATTTCAACATTATCCTTTTTATTATCTTGCAAGTTGCAACACTGGTGTAATTAGTTTTTTTGGTAATAAACTTTAACTTCTCATTAATTAAAGAGAAAACTATCAAATAAGTCCTTGTACTTTTATGAAAAAGTCAATTGTGCTCTTATACTTTAAAATGAGTCAATCAAGCCTTTGAAGTGTTAAAAACCCACCAAAATAGCTATTTCATAGGTGACTAGCAGGTAAACTCGGTTACCGTCTACATGGATGTCCAAGTGGCCTTTATTTTACTGTTTCTATTTTTATTCATTCTTTTTCTACTGTTCACTTTCTTTCTTTTTTCATTTCAGTAAAAAAGTAAAGGCTATTTTATCAAATTTGACATGAGACAATGGATTTCCCGAAAAAAATGGGACAATTTTAAGATATGGGAGTATTATCTACTCTCTCTGTCCCGCAAAGAACATCCCGCTTTCCCTTTTTAGCAGTCCCAAAAAAGAAGTTCCCATTTCCCTAAATGGGAAGTTATCTATATCAAAACAATGTCAAACAGTGCAAAACAGTGCCAAACAGTGTCGAAACAGTGTCAAAACAGTAAAATTTATCTCCTGATAAATTTATTTCCTTAATATGTGCGTAGGTCAAACCGGGAAGTTCTTTACGAGACGGAGGGAGTATTTATCTTGATAAGAAACATGATCCATTTGGTAAGTCATATCTTTGACCTTTTCCAACGGCCGAAGTTTTATTTGATCTTGTTTGTTGAAGTATTATCTTGTAGTCTCATCTCAAATCGAAAACAATCTAGTTAAAACTTTTTTTTTAGAGAGAAATCAAAGAATCCGTGAATTTATTTATAGGTCGCAATTCTTTAATTTTCTTTTAGATGTCAATTTAAGCACGAAGATAAAATTTTAATGAATGGTTACGGAGTAATACTTTCACTGACAAATTTCATGAAGCTAATCGTTTGCATTAATGAGTTCCTATAGTTAAAAAATTGGGAACGAGACTTGGATGTTGTTAAAAGTATTAGGGACTAATCAGATGAAGCAAAAGAAAAATACCAGTACGTGGATCTACGATTCACTCTCGTCTCTAGAGAGGACAATCAGTGGTCATATGGGGTTTGAGATTTTCCGTTGTCTCTATCAGTATGGGTTGGAGCGACATATTATACTGATTTTAGGTGTTCTTACGTTTGGGATTGCAACTACGTCGGAGAAGATAGCGTTGACAGATGAACGAGGTGCGACTGTGAGGTTGTCTCGAGGCAGGATCGTGAAGCCATGGTCGGCCATTCCGACGTGGTGGAGTTGGTATTCACCCATATTGTAAGAGCTTGTCCTCCTCCGGAACCACCTCAGGAAGAAAGAGCTTTGTGAAAATATTTTATTTCTGTATTATTTTTTATTTAATAGCACCTATTTATGTTCTAGCCCGTGTAGATTTGGTTTAAATGTTTGGACTTTTAGATTTCTTTTGATAGGCAGAGTTTTGACTCTGATCATTTTAGGCTTAAATTTGCTCGTTTTAGGTTTAGCGAGTCATGTTACTTTGTATGAGGTGACTGACTCTAAATCTACTCCTAAGATTCACGATTGATTCTGTAAATTCTGTTTGAAGCTTATCTTGTATGTGTTCTCGATTTTAATATATCGACCGCTCTTTTATGATAACAAATGTTTTGGGGACTATTATTGGTTCAAAAAAGGATGCACATAGGCTTTTTGGAAAAGTTACGACAAAGCACTCAGTATGAAACAAAAATTACGAAAATGGAAAGTACTAAGAGATTTTAGTTATCAAAATAGTGCGTCTGTAATTTGAATAAGACTTGCCTTTTATAGGCATTTGCAAATGGAAACCCCCATGCACAATAATAACTACTCCCTTCGTCCCGCTAAGATTGTCACATTTTTCATTTTCCAAAAATCTCACTAAGATTGTTTCATATCAATTTTAGTAAAGTTTGTGTCTCTAAATCAATTTTACTCTATTCTTACTTTATCAATTCAATATCAACCATATAAACTCACTTTTCTTAATAACCATATCACCCCTCATGTCCCAGTGGTAGTGGGACGGATGTAGTAATTAATTACAATATTAATACAAAATTACATATACGATTAATTTGTGCATTGATTGCTCGACCGTTGCGGTTCCTACCTGGAGGCCTGATGCTTGAGCTCCTTCCCTACTGGAGAGGAAGGTAGACTCCCCATTTGGCCGGAAGGCAGAGTCCCCGCTAGGTTGGAGGATTGACCGTCTCGGGCTTTCGCTTTGTTGGACTTCCTTTCTTTGATGCACCGGCTTGAGCTCTCGGTTGTTCGCCCACTGGTTGGGCGGGCCAGGTGATTATTGGACCCGGGCTTGGACTTGCCGATCCAAGTCGTGGGCTTGGGCTCGTGGGTTCAAGTTCGGGGCTTGAACTAATTAGGCTTTGAGCTTACTCACATAACCTCATAAACGTAAGCATATTCATAAAATGTTTGTAGTCTATAAATATTAGCATACTACAAATGACGAGAATGGATTGGATGGGTCCACGACCTCCTAAGAAAAATATTTTAATGTATACATATATAATCTAGTAGTGCAGACCAGACCAGACTAAAAAAGAACATACCAGATTAAACCAGACCATATCCGATAAGACCAGACTCACAAATTTCAGTCTAAAAGAAAACATCATTACTCCTTTTATGCACTTCCACGTTTATCTAATGCACTTTTACGCGATGGTGGAAAAGTTCCACTTAATTACGAAACTGCTATTGTATCATTTATCATTTTTTGAGCGCATTTGACACTTTACAATCATTAATTTCAAATTCAACGCACCAAATGCATTATCATTTCTTACGACAATCACTTTTGTAACTTGATACTAATTCTTTACACACAATTTTACACACACATACAGTGGTGATTAACTTATCATTTAAGATAATGTGTTGATTATTTTCTAAAAAATATATGAAAATCTTTAGATGAGACGTCCAAAAAAGCAAGTGAAATTCAAAAACTTTAAACTAGGATAGAGAATTTTAAAAATTGAGATCAAGTTTCCAAATATAAAAGTTTGGAAGAAGCTTTTGGGAGTGGGAAACACTCTTTAGGAAGGTTTTTTTTAAGCAAAACAGAACCATGCATATCATTAATCCAATAAATCATTTGTGAGGTGGCTTACAACACTTTCTGGAATATCATCAAAATAGCTAACCTGGTCTGGTAACAACACACATTGTCTAGCTAATGCATGAGGAACATAGTTTGCAGACCTTCTACAATAAGAGAGACTAAACACACTCTTAAAATTCAATAATCTATGAATATCTTCAAAAATAAGATCGATATACGATCCACCCTGCATACCTCGCAGACCATTGACAACTAGTAGTGCATCTAACTCGAATTCCACACTGTCCCATCCTTCTTTCAAAACATCTTCTACGGCATCTCTAACTCCAAGTTCTTCCGACTCAGCTAGGCTCCAACGACCGCTCCGAGATCTACTTTCCGCCTTTATGAAGCATCCCTGGTCTGTTCTGGCCACCCAACTCCACGCCCGGATTCTATTCGTCTCATTTATCGCAACATCAATATTTACTTCAACCGTCCCCTCTCTAGGTTTTTGCCACTTTGCCGCCCCCATATCACTTCTTTTATCTCCATTCTATTGCTTTGTTTGGGCTGCCTCCCAATTCTCAAGCCCCTAACATGCTATCTGCACTTCTTACTACTGCCAGACTACAGGATTTTCACTTTGCCGCCCCTATATCACTATTTAGGAAGGTTGATATATATGGCTGTAAGTTTTATTTCTTACTACCTCCGTCCCAAAAAGGTTCATCATATTGACTTTTCTTGGTTAATGATAGTAAACTTTGGACAATGATTTTAATTATTATATTCATATATAATTTATAAATATTATACTTTTATGAAAATATTTTGAATAAGGAACATTTTGATATAACTTTCATATTCAAAATAATTTTGTGTTAAAAAATATAATTGGTCAAAGATGATTGTCGTTAATTGAGAAAAGTCAATTTGGTGAACTTTTTCGAGGGAGTACAATTTCTAAATTAGTAAATTATTCCTACTTAATTGACGCAGTATATGCACTAATGCACTATGTTGCAAGGAGTAACCGTTTGCTTCTCAATTGATATAATTCCTGTAGGACATGAAATTTAAGTATTATCTTCTACAATTTTTTTTTAAAAATAAATTTATAAGAATATTAAGTTTCAAAATATTTTTAAAAAATTAAATTTATAAGAATATAAAATTTACCAATATTTAAAAATAAATAAATTTATAAGATACTACGAATTATGTATGTATTACTAAATAAAATATAGTCAAAATCGAGCATGTGAATAGCGTAAAATTTAACAACTTACAACTATAAAGAACGAAGATAGTATTAAAACGAAATATTTAAAAAAATTAATACTCAATATTATAAAGTATTACTCCATCCGTTCCTATTATAACTTCCCAACTTTCCTTTTTCGTTAGTTCTAATTAAAACTTTCACTTTCCCTTTTTGATAAAGAATTTGTGGTTCACAACATTTCTTACACATTTCTCTCCTCTTCATAACTCTTCACCACACAATACCCATTATCTTAAAT